AGCACGGCTTGATAAGCAGTGCGTAGGTCTGCACCCAGGGCTCCGAACCTACGAACCCCGGGCCGCCAGAAGCAGAGGGCGTGAACTTAACCACTATGGCACCAGGTTGGCCCCCAACTATGCTTTGTTTTACTTATATTTTAGTTTAAATGGGACTAGTCCTCCTACCATTAATTAATGATTGCATAAGTTAACACTGAATGAATGACCCTATAGTGTATTAATTACTTTAAAGGGAAACACAAACTCAGAACCTGTCAGATGCCTACATGGGAAAATAGTTAAAATGGTTTGAGATTTATAGTTAATTTGAATGATCATAAAGGGTTGGATTCTCACACATGTAACACCAACATTGTCTACTCTTTCTGCCTTTTCTTTATTTTGTTAAACGCTGGAGAGAAGTAGAGGTGTTATGTCAGATATGCTATCTCAGAAGCATTGTGAAGTGTTAGAGAAAAGCAGTATCTTGTGGGAAGATAATGAAGTGATAGTTTGTCGCTAAGATTTTGCAAGTACTGCCAGAAGGAGTAGGTAAAAGGAAGATGTTAATTTGAATCTGAATCAGATTTTCTATTCTAGTTTAAATTTTCCTTATCCATTGATCTATATCCATATACATTTAATAAGATTTAGACAGGAGACGTGTTTGCCATTCTAAGTGGTATCTTTTATGTATCAGACTGGTTTTCCATTAATGAAGAGAATATGGACATATTTTGAGTAGTTTAAGATTTTTGGATCTGTGATTAAATTTCATCCCCTAATGTGTTAGAAATAATGCTTTTGTATCCTGAAAGATAGAAAATTTCTAAATGTAATCTATTTTATTCTGTACAGTTCTAATTCTAGAATAGAGAGCCCTCCTTTCCATCTTCTGCTTTCTTGATCCATTTCTTTAGGGAGGAAAGTCTATATAGTAAACTCTCTCCTATCTACTTCTCCTTGCTATTGCTGTAGAAAAACCTTACCGCAGGTTTCAGGAAATACAGGGTTGCTTGATCTTGTTTATATAGGTAAAAGATAGAATCACCTCGTGTTTTAGAAGTGCCATTTTATGAGGCATTTCACTGTGAAGTGAAATGAAGGTGTGTATGTGTGTTTTATACATACGTAGAGAGAGAGAAACAGACAGAGTCAGACACTGAGTTCCTAGATTTACAGACTTGTCTGTGTTATAAATTGTTCCAGAAACAAAAGTACAATAACATAAGCATAGTACCACATGAAAACAAAATTCATAAGAATTATTAGAGCTGACTAAAGTTTTGTCTTTTGTAATTTCACATCCATAGTGGAGAGGGCTGGTAACCACTAAAGGCCTATGATATCAGACAATTCACAAAATCTGTTCTGTACTGACTCTATTAATAAATTTATCTGATCCAGTCTTACCACTAGCAGTTTCTGACTAAAATAGTTTTTAGGAAGGGCAATGTTTTTAATCAATGAAAGAAGAGACTTAGATTTTGCTTTGCCTTTGTGCCTCATAAAGCAGAGATTGTATGAGTTGGCACCAACGTTTTCTTTCCTCACCTCATTCACATGTTCTTCAGTTCTCTCTTATTAGGACTTGATATTGCCAGACCCTGGGCTAGGAGCGCCTGTCCTTCAATTGTTGTCATTTACTCAGAAATGACTAAAAGTCTTGAATTTAGTTAATGAAATTGATACTTTTTAATTTGGTTCCAAGCTTTGATATTTTTGCTTTATTTATTGGCATTAATAGGTCAAATAAGCTAGAACTCTGTCTTATTTATCTTTTAATTGTAGGGAAAAACAGATTTTTGCTTTCTTTATATACTGGCATTGCTAGGTCAAATAAACTAGTACTCTGCCTTAAATATTTTATCTTTTAATTGTAGACAAAAACAAATTCAGGGATTATTGGAATGTAGAAAAGGAATGTACTTCTGAATAAAAAATCTGAGAATGTTTTAGAACTTAGGTAAGTAATTAGGGCAAATTTTTTTGTCCACTTAGCTTTCAAGAAAATGTAAGTATTCCAGGTAAAAGGTTTGGCTGATGGGTGATATTTTATGCCTAATTTTGAAATACACAAGAGTGCCTTAGGGAACTAGAGAATGAAGAAGCTATGAGAGGAAGGGTTAATTCCCATGCTTATTCCTTTTGCACAATTAGCCTTTCATCTGAATCATCTTCATTTAAAAGATGTCCCTGTTGCATTCTGACATGCTGAGTCCAATTCTCTCTCACTTTTTTCCTACAAATATTAATAAGTGCCTTATCTATGCCAGGCATTATGCTAGGCCTGTTCCTTGCCCTCATGAATTCAGGGGTGGCCGTAAACCTTTAAAAATATGTGTACTGCAGGGGAGGAAGAACTATTCTTCTACCTTCTACGTTCTTCTGGCTGGTCTAAGAATTAAGTTGACATGAGACAGAATAACAGGAGAAAATCAAACAAGTTTAATAACATGTATACATGGGAGAAACCCAGGAAAACAGTAACTCGCCAAAATGGCTGAAGACACCACCTTGAATACCACCTTCAGCTAACGACAAAGGAGGATGTTGTGGGTAGTGGTTTGGGACTTCAGAGGGGAGGAGGGCAATTCACTTGGAGATGGGAAAGCAAATGTTTGGTAAACAAATGTTTGCCATGGCCTGCAGAGACAATGAGACATGGAGAGGTCTGATCCTTTAAATGGGCCTTGCTTGCATCCTCCCTGTCTACCACACCTAGCTTATATTATACCATAGTTGTCTATGGTGATAGCTCCTTCCTGTTACAGGCTTTCTGTCTTAAATTCTTTTAGGCATTTAGAGGGAAGGTCAAAGTTCCTTCCTGAGTCTTTTGTTCTTAAAAATAATCAAGCCAAAGAGACACATTTTGGGGTGGCAAACACTGCTTCCCTTCATTACACATATATATATACACACACACTCTCTCTCTTTCTCAGTCTCTCTCCCTCTCCCTTCTCCCCCTTTCCTCTCTCACAATTGCCCTGAGTACAATGATGGAAAGATAGGGGGCTTTAGGATGTATGTAACAGAGAGAACTAACCTAATTTAGAGGAGCAGGGGAGTGTCAAGGAAGACCTCACTAAAGAAGTGAAATTTAAATTTTGTTCCTTAGGCAAAAAAATAAATAAATAAAAAGACAGAGATGTTGCAGGCTGAAGGAAAAGCCTGTGTGAAGGCTGTGAGGCTGGAGTGGACTGGTCAGTTGGCGAGTTTATAAGTAGTTGGTGTGGTTGGAGCCCAAAGAGTCCAGGGACAGTGAGAAAAGAAGCCAGACAGGTGGCTATGGTCCACACATGGCCTTGAAGATTTGCCAGAAATTTCAACCGTTGAGTGGTAACTCATTGAAGGGTCTTTAATACGGAGAGTGATATGATCAGATTTATTGTTTCAAAGATCACTCTGACTGCAGTGATCTTGATTGAGGGGAACACGAGAGAAATGCTGGGAGATCTTGTCAGGAGGTTTCAACAGTGATCCAGGTGATGGTAGCTCAAATTAGTGAGCGCCAAGAAGGACAGAGAGACATGGATGGAAATATCCAGGATGTCTAAGAGTTGGAGGCTAAAAGACATACTGATGATGTGGACATTTTTTTTTTTTTTAATGTTTTGAACTAGCTTTTTCTTGCTTGAAATTTGTTGTATTATTCAATATTTGTATTTCCAATTGTTTCTTTTTCTTGAGGGCTCAAGTAACTACCTGGCTTATGCACAAAATATTGCAATACTTCTTGCGTCTTTTTCTGGCTTTGGTTGCTTACTGATGTATATATTAAGAAAGTAGAGCATAAACAAGTCCCCAGTCATTGCCCTTCCCTATTGATCTGCCAAAATGGCTAGAAAAGGGGGGTATAGGAGGAGTGGAATAAAAAGTGTTAGTCATTCTGTGTAAAGGGTCTAAAATAGAACCATACATATGTAAAAATATCACAGATTTGAAAATTTTGCCATACAAAGTAAAATCAAATTACATTTAATACTGCATTTTATTGTCTTCGTGGTTCTCTAATTTTATTTATTGATTGATTGATTGTAGATGTTTAATTTCTCCAAAAATATTGGAAGCATCTTGAGGACTATCATCCAGCTAGATGCCCTTTTTTGTGATTTGGTTTTCCTTCTTTTACTATATTTATTTTTGTTAATTGAGCCTGTTTAGATTTCTGTGGTGACTCCTTTTCACCTTGTCTTTCTCCTTCTAATGTACCATAGTCTTGATATTATTTCTAGAACTGATGTTTACCTTAATTCTTAACCTTTCTGAGGAAAGGCTCTTTTCTGAACAAGGTCCTCAGTGCTTTTCCTCATTTGAGAGATGTATTGTGATCATTCTAAAGAGTAGATCATATCATCTCACACCCCTGTGCACAGGCTCCCACTGGCTTTCCATCCCACTCAAAGTATAAACCAGGGTGCTTCACAAGGACATAAGTGACCTGATCTCTCTCCTATCTCCCCTCCTATTTCTCTCCATTCACACTCCATCCTTCTTTGTTTCTCCAAAACTTCCAACTGTTTCCCATTTTAGGTTCTCTGCATTTGCTGTTCCCAGCATGCTTTGTCCCCAAGTTATCATGTGGCTTGTTCCCTCACTTTATTCAATTGTCACCACCTCAGAGGGGACTTTCAAGACTACACTTTCTTAAATAAGCTCCCTGCTCCCAAATAAGCTCTCAGTTGTGCCCCATCATTCTCTGTCCCCTTACCCTCTTACATTTTCATCGTAACATGTTACTATTTGACATGTGAACTATTTTTTATTCTTGGTTTATTGTTTGTCTTCCCCTAGAATGTAAATTCTCTGAGGACAGAGACTTTGACTCTCTTGCTTACCACTAAATGATTATCTTCTAGATTAGCTTCTGGCACGTGGGAGGATTCAACAAGTGAAGACAGATCGCACTTGTGCAGCCCCTGCTTCCTCCAACTTCTGCTTACTACCTTCTTTCCTTCCTCAGTAGACATACTGAGAAAACATTATGCAAAATCTAATTGTAATGTATAAGGTAGTGAACAAATCTAATGGGACACTTAAAAGATCTATGTTTTTGAGCTGTGAGTACCATCCTGCCGTTGATCTGGTTCTGATAACCTAACTGTGTAAATATATCCACCAGAGCAGTTACAGTGTGATGATGACTGTAATAACAATAATAGCTAACGTTTATTGAGTGCTTACTATGTATGTGTCACGTATTGTTCTAAGTACTTGAGGGATATTTGTTTAATCTTCACAAAACCTATGAAATGGATATTTCCCATTTTACAGTGAGGAAACTGAGGCACAAAGAGTTTAACCAATTTGCTTAAGGTCAGATAATTAGTAAGGGCATTTCCTCAATTTGAGCCTAGAAAATATGACTCTTATTACTGGTGTCAACAAGAGTAGCTTCTGGAAGTTTCCTTTTGTAGGAATAGTAAAGCGTGGTAATGGAAAGAAGTATGGTGCTGGTGCAGTCTAGGGAGCTTTTCTTCTCTGAGCTGTTCTCCCCCTGTTATTCTCTTAGAATAAAGAAACCCTCTGTTTTGCTTACTTTTTCCTCATTAAAAGTAGAAATACTGGATTGGCTTCTACATGATCCAATTTCTGAATTTATTCAATTTAACAGTTTTGAATGACAAGAAGTTAGGAAACATTTCAGAGAGAATGGAGCATTTGAGATGAACTTTGAGAAGTGGTTAGTGTGATCTGTTCTGGTGGATATTTTTTCATTCATTCAACAATATTTACTACCTATTATTTGCCAGACCATGAGAATAGAAGAGTTTTTTTTAAGAAGTGTTTCAGAGAGAGGAATGGGTTGAGATAGATTTCCGTGTCCAAGGCTAATTGCCCGAATATATATAGAGTGGTAGGAAAACACTGGATGTCTTTAGAGAGTGAAAAAATATGAAGGAGAAGATTAGAAAGATAGATATGGGAGGGTCATGAAAGGTATTGAGAACCTGGAGGTGTATTCATACTTCAGTAGGCATTCTGGAACTACAGATATTACCATATTTAATTACCAAAATGGATTTCTCTGAACAGTCGTAAGCTTTGTAAAGTAGTATAGTATGAAACAATGGATTATGAGGCAAAAGAATAGAGTTTTATTAATAGCTCTGCTTCCTAATTGTATGAACCTGAACAAGTCACTTTTATATTTTTATAATTAAATATTTGTTAAAGGATATATCCTTAGGTTTTAATTTTTTAAAAGTATATACAGGGATATAAACTGAAGAATGTCTCTTTCCTCATGCATACCAAGCTTATATTTATATATTTTTACAAAATAATAGGTCATACTATATATATTCTGTAGAGAATGCTGATTTCAGTGTTCTTTGTATATTTTGTCTATCAGTGCATTTACATTTTTAATGACTATTATTCAATTTCTGGATTACTATAATTTATAAAACCAGTTCCTTATTGATGGATATTTAGGTGTTTATAGTTTTTGACTATTATAGTCAATCTCTTTCTGCATAGATTTGGCTAGAGGTTATATCAGTAGGATAAACTCCTAGCAGTAGAATTGCTGAATCAACGGGTTACATGTATTTGTAATTTTGATAGTTGTTGCCAGATTGCTTTTCAAAAATTTGTGCTTCTATAATTAAGTTAATCAAAATCAAAATGCATATTTCTCCACATCCTTATCAACACTAAGTATTAGCCATCTTTTTTTATTTTGCAAATTTGATGAGTGAGAAATTACATCTAATTGTTTTAGTTGACATTTCTTTTAATTATGAGTGAGGTTGCACATTATTTAATGTTATATATCTACATCATACACACACACACACACACACACACACACACACACACAATAACATTTTCTTTGAACTACCTGTTTCTCTCCTTTATTCAATCGTTCAATTCTTTCTGTTTTATTCGTTTCATATGCTTTTTAAAAGGGGACTGATACCCTTCTTACCAACTAAATGGTTGGGATGATCAAATAAGGTAGTATTCGTCAGTGTTTGTCAACCTTTTTTACATTATTGCTCCCCTAAAAAGCTTTAACAAAATTTCCGCCAACTGTCTCCCTTTGCCCTTGAAATTTTAATACCACAGATACACTGTGTCTCTGTTTATGTACTGTGGCCAGTCGGCGGGGCGTAAACCATGGTAATATCTAAGATTCCCCACCCCTCTCTCAATAACCAATGTTGGCTCCCTTGAGGACAATATCATTCCCATTGAGAATGTATGGTATATGTAAAAGTTTTTGTAAACTGCAAAGTGCTTTTTAAATGTAAAGCTTTATTAGTAATAATTTGCATTTCATATGATGTAATATTATATGTCTGTTTTGCAGCTGCCGTTTTCTCATTGCGGATTTACCTTTTGCAAACTTAGGCATTTACTATTTTGTTGTTCATTTTGCTGCCTTTGAAACAATCGTTCTTAAGTTGACCTCTGATCAGCTCTCTCTGCCCATCTGTGCCTGTCAGAATGGTACTCGTCCTTCAAAGCCTGTCCTAGAAGTTCCCTTTCTCCGTGAAGTCTGTTTAGTCTCCCATAATTATCCCTTGCCCTTGACCTCTTAGAGTTAGAGCTCTTTTAATACATCTCCTTTGCTGTGACATTCTGTCCTTCATTACGTGGTCTGTGTATCTTCCATATTCTACCTCCTAACAGATTGTGTCAAGACAGCAAAAATGCCTCTCTTCATTCTTTATTCCCTGGAGATCTTTTCCCAGTACCATTGTACATAGTGGAAGCCAATAGCTATGTCTTACAATGAATTTCTAAAGAAGTCTGAATTCATGTCCCAGCCACTTAGTATGTGACCTTGGGCTAAGATCCTTAACCTACTAGCCTTGATATTCACCTATATAAAAAAGAGATAATAATGATGCCTTTCTGATAAGATCGCTGAGATTGAATAGTATAATAACATAAAGCACAGTATCTGGCATTTAGTAAGCATTCAATAAAATATTAGTAATCATCAATAGTGCAAACATCTCTTAGCAGAGAAAAAGACATTGAACCAATTATTGTCATAATCATTTCTAGCTCTTGTTTAGAACATAATATATTGTTCATTGTACCATAGTTACAAAGGGAAAATTTGGTTTTCTTTAAGTCATCTTTTTCAGAATGCATCCTGCAATATAATTCACCATATAGGAACCATTTAAAGTATACATGAATGATAATTTAATGTACATTGTACTTTTTATTTTTCAATACTGTATTAAAATTATTATGTATACATGATTTTTTTTTAAAATCCTATAAATCATTAAGCAGAAGAAAGCCCAGTTGGAAATTGGGCAAAAGATATGAACAGGCAGCTCTCAGAAAAGGAGACAGAAACGGCCAATAAACAGATGTGAATGGTTAATTTTATGTGTCAACTTGACAGGGCCACAGGGTGCCCAGATATTTGGTCAGACATTATTGTAGGTGTTTCTGTGAAGGTATTTTGGATGAAATTAATATTTAAATGGGTAGAAAGCAGATTGGCCCCCATAATGTGAGTGAGCCTCATCTAAACAGTTGAAGGCTTGACTAGAACAAAAGGCTGACCTTTCCTCCAGCAAGAGGAGTCTATAATAGACTTACTTGGACTTCATCTACAACATCATCTCTTCCTGTCTGATGGCCTTTAACCTAGAACATCAACTCCTGTCTGACAGCCTTCAAATTAGAACATTGGCTCTTGCTGGATCTCCAGCCTGCCTGCCCATCTTGCAGATGGAACTTGGCAGCTTCCATAATTGTGAGAGCCAATTCCTTATAATATATATCTCTTCATATATATATATTATTATATATGTAACTAAATCTTTGTCTATCTATCTATCTGTATAATCTCCTGTTGGTTCTGTGTCTCTGGAGAACCCTGACTAATACAACAGATGAAAAGATTATCAATCAAAAAAATCAAATGGCTCATGATACAAAATGTTAGCAAGGATTTGGAGAAATAGGAACTCACCCATACAAACACATAAATTGGTACAACCACTTTGGATAGAATTTTCGCAATATTTTATTAAAGTTAAAGATCGGCAAATGATTTGATCCAGCAATTTTACTTCTAGATTAAAATTAACTAGATTTGTCATCAAAATAAAATTACATTAAATGTTAAAGTGTGGTATTTTAAAATTTAGTTTTGTGTTGTTTCGTGATCCATTTTTACATTTGGTTGCTTATTTAACTATAGATATATGTATGTTCCCTGCCATATGGGCTCACAATTGCTGTTTTGCACAGACTTCTACAGGGTACTTAATAAAATTATTTTTGAAATGAGATGGTTTAAAGAAGTATATCAGGAATTTCAGTCACTATGTCCAATATTAAATTCTAGTAGTAACTATAGAATATAGATTCATTTTCATACTTTTTTTGGTGCTAAGGCTTTTCTGTCAGTAAATTGCTAGATGTTCCAAGAGGATGTACATGCTATATATTAATAATCCGTAGCATATTAGAAGGCAAACTATTAATTTCTCAAATATGAGGAAGAGACTAGATCATACCAATGTATTTTTATAATTAAATTATGTAAGTTTACTGCTTTGACCACTTATATTCAGTTTTCACATTTAAATAACTGGTGACCTTTCTCAAATATTTAGTAAAAACTTAGAGCTTCACACTACTTGGATAAAGTCTTCCTACTGTATTAAAAATAACTGGCCATCTTAATCTTTCACTTGATTTTATAGTATTTAAAATCCTAGAAATTTAAAATATTATTATTTATAGTTTTTAAAGTTATAGCATAAAAATTTTTCTTTGCTAAGGAGGACTGTAAAAATGTACTTAAATGAAAGTGAGTATATTTGAACTTCAGTGGGGAAATTATTATCTGGTTTCAAAAGCCTCTATTTTTGTAGGAAAAAAGTACTTTATAATAATAGCACTTAAAGTGCTTGATCCTGTTTATTTCCATTAGAAATTAAGACAACATTTCCAGGCCTTAAACAGTTTTCAGAGCCTTCGGATATCTATTTATCTCAGTACAAAAATAGCACATTGTAATTCCAAGTGACTGTGTCGTCGTTTCACAAATGGCAAAGCATGGCATGAAGTTTGT